CGTTGATGTGGATGTGAGCTTACGCATTGGTCTTCCTGGCTCCGGTAATTCGAGCAATGGTGATAAACAGCCGAAGAAGCAGAATGGGAAGGAGATCGTCGCTTATGATGCCGGAAAAGAAATCGACAATGAAGTTTCCGGCAAGGCATACTGGATTCCAGCGGCGGAGCAAATTCTAATAGGCTTCACTCATTTTTCTTGCCATGTATGCTTCAAGACATTCAATCGCTACAACAACCTTCAGGTGCGAGTCAATATATCTCAAACGCATTGCTTGTCCATGCATAATTCTACATAAGTTCATAACAACTTATAACTCCGTATCTAATGATACGACTTTATTCATATCTTCTTCTTTTTTTCGGTCGAAACTCTATTCATATCTATAAATATATATTAACTTGGCAAAAGTTAAATATTTTTTTTTTCTTTTAACTAGATCAATTAAACAAAAAAAATATATACTAAAACTATTTGCTGAAATTTGATCTTTTTTTTTTGTTAAAGTGAAATTTGATCGTTTTAATAGCTTACCTTATTCTTTATCAAAAACAAAAATATATAGCTTACCTTATAATTAGCTTTTCGTTTAATTGTATTCAAAACATTTAATCCAAGTTAAACTCACATCTTTCTTGAATGAAACACTGATCGATTAATATATAACATGATTTGAAGGAACTATTTTATTAGCTATGCAACCTTGTTAAGTCCTAATATAATACAAATGCAGATGCACATGTGGGGCCATGGTTCACAATACAGAAAAGGACCAGAGTCACTTAAAGGAACTCAGCCACGAGCCATGTTAGGGATCCCTTGTTACTGCTGCGTAGAAGGTTGTAGGAACCACATAGACCATCCTCGATCCAAGCCGCTCAAAGACTTTCGAACGCTCCAAACGCACTACAAACGCAAACACGGTCACAAGCCCTACGCATGTCGCATTTGCGGTAAGCTCTTGGCTGTGAAGGGCGATTGGCGAACCCATGAGAAGAACTGTGGGAAACGCTGGGTTTGCGTTTGCGGTTCCGATTTTAAACACAAACGCTCACTTAAGGACCATGTCAAGGCATTTGGACCTGGTCATGGGCCTTATCCGACTGGTTTGTTTGATGAGCAGGCCTCTAATTCGTCTGTCTCTGAGACTTTGTTCTTTTAGATTTGGGCATCTATGGTCTTCAATTCATCTGAGGACGCAAATTTGGGCTTCTATAGACCATTTATTTACTCTGAATTAAAATGTGGTTTCTAATAATTTCCGAATTTGGAAGAAATGCTAATTGGACCGTTATCTTTTTAGTTTTTATTTACTTACTGTACTTGGCGATATGGAGTATATTAATTTTTTTCTATCATCGAGTATAATTGATGCTCGAATTAACCAATATATATCGATGGCCATGATATATATGCAAGTTATTTCATGTGAACCAAAAATTGGTTTGAATGTAAACAAATTATTACAATGAACACTTAATCACATAAATTTTGTTAGTTTTTCCTAGTTATACAAATTTGTTAGTGGAAGTTCCTTGACCGAAACCAAACACATGACCTCTTTGGCTTGTTCAGCATAATATCTAAAAGTTTACGCAAGCTTAGAGCATGATTATCGGTGAAACTTTAAGGAT